GAGTCATAACTTTAGTGCTAGTCTTAACCTCAGGTGAGGAAGGGCTCACTCAGAGTGAATGACTTCTTGGTATAGAGAGGTAGTAACAAAAATTAGGGTCTGTGAACCAAATATTATTGTCTTGATTTTGTGTTGGTTTTATTCAATTGCAGTCTGTGTAGTAAGTAAAAGGTTAATTTCTGTCATCTTGATCCAAAGTTCAGGTAAATTATGAAGTCAAGATTATTTGTCTATTTAAAATGTTGCAACTTTTGAAGCATAGGTATCCAATCTTTATTTAATTACTAAACTAAACTTTCAGGAATTTGCTCTAACTATTAAATGTCAACCACAATTTTCTTAACCATATTTTCCTCACTGTTTCAGAGAAGGGGAATTATGTTTCAGTGGTAAGAGCTCAGTATTGGTTTCTAGGAATTAATGAAGTGCGGGTCTCAACACACACGACACTGTATTAAAAATAATTTGATATGTCTTATCTGTAATACTCATTAACACTTGATGCTTTTACTCTAAAATACCTTTCAGACCCAAAGTGCAATGACTCTCCAATGCATTAAAAAAGCAGGAATTAGAGGACAGCACTGAAGATAAAGCCCGGGGAGAGTGGAAGGTCTGTCCAGACCACCCTGGAGCAAACAGATGAGAGAGAGAAAGAGAGAATTGACCTCATCCTGGCCCACCAAGCTCCAGGATTGACATCCCTGCCTAGAGCAGCCAATGCACACAGGGGACCTTACGGCCAGCCCCACCAGGAGACATGACATTCCCTCACTGACCCATAACACTATGGGGACAGGACTGGAGACACTGTGTGGAAAGTGTACCTGGTCTGCTCCACACACAATGGGTTGAAACGAGAAGGGAGTGCAGCAAGGCAGAAAAGGGACTAAAGTAACTAAAGGAACAAAGTCGCTGAGGAATCCTGAAAATAGACTTCTGACTTGGGGCACAGGGCATGGCACGTCATCAGACCCAATTGGAAAACACTCATAAGGGTCAGCAGACAGACCTGGAACTCGCTATCAGTTTTTGTTTTTGTTTTGCCCTGTATAAGATGGCAGGGCAACCAATCCTGAGGGGAAAACAATGGGACCGGTGGTCCCAGGGGACATGGGAGCGGAGGGAGTAGAGAAGGGGAGCAGGGAGCCAACAAACTCAGGAATAAGGGAATAACAAGAGATCTAAAATTGATAGTGAGGAGAAGGTATAATGCCTGGTGGGGCTTGGTCAAATGCAATGTATCCAAGAGGAATTATTGAGAGCTGTATATTTATATGTTAAGTATTAAGACAGCAGACAGACTTTGGGCCTCTACTCAATGCTTCCCTAACACAAGAACACATTTTTCTAATAACCTGGCACTCTTTGATACCTTCCTGACATGATTGCTGAACACAAAATGGGTGGATAAGCAAATGTGGTGAAGAAAGTGGATGGTGCCCGGCTATCAAAAGATATAGCATCTGGGATCTTAAAGGCTTGAAGTTAAACAAGCAGCCACCGAGCAGGGAAGCAAATAAGCCCACATGGAAGAAGCACAGCAGTCTGTGTGATTGACGGGAGGTGTTGTCTGAGGTGTTGACGGGATCAGGTATCAGGTATCAAAAGATCCAAAACAAACAATTGTATCGATATGAAAGACAGGGCTTGGAGAGGAGACCCAAAGCCCATCTGTAGACAATTGGACATCCCCCCATAGAAGGGTTACAATGAAGAGACAATTCAACCAGGGTGCAGTAAAGCACCAACGAAACACACGTAATTCCTCTAGTTCCTGAATGCTCCCCCACCCCACCCCACCCCCACCCCTGACTACCATACCCCAGGTATACCTTACAATCCGGCTAGACTGGAGTACACACAGTGGTACAGATAAGAGTTTTCAACACATGGAATTCACGACAGATAAAACTCTCAGAAACAGCAGGGGGAGTAGTGATACCATGAGGGTAAGGGGATGGTGGGTGCTGGGGAGGGAGGAGGGGGAGAAAGTGGGAACTCATCAAAAGATCGGATATAGAGCCCATCCCCCAGGGGACGAATAACAGAAATGTGGGTGAAAGGAGGCAATGGACAGTGCAAGACATGAAATGACAGCAACAATATGTAACTGATCAAGGCTTCAACAGGATGGAAGGGTGGGGAGAAAAGAAGAGTTAATACCAAGGGCTTAAATAGAAAGAAAATGTTTCAGAAATGTTGATGGCAACATATGTACAAGTGTGCTTAATACAATTGAATGATGAATTGTTATAAGATTTGTAAGAGCCCCTACCCCAATAAAATGATTAAAAAAGAAGAAATTTCTGGAACTTAAAGAGTCATACAAGTGCCTCACTTTCTGAGAATATGAGCGGTGAGTGCCTTTTTACTACTGGTTATACTTAGGACATGCTTCACTCTTTTGGAGATCTTTATTTGTGCCGGAAAAATTATATCTGTTAAGAAGTCTGAAATCCTTACATGTAAGAACACCTTAGAAGTACAAGGAACTAAATGAATATAAAACAGCTTTCACACATTGATTTACATTAATCAATGATCGAAGTTTAAATGAGGCACCTGGAATTGAATAAGCATACAGCAGGGATACAATTATGATTTTATATAATAACCAATACCCTCCTATTAATTAAATATGTGAAAGTGATTATCATTAAATTCACTGGAAACTCAGCATCTAGATACAACACAGGAAAAAATACAAAACACAGGGAATTTTGCCAAACCACCTCTGTATATAAATGTGTTTGTGCATAGAAAATCTATATAGAGGAACAAAAATGTATAGTCACCCTTTTTATTTTGTACTGTAATTAAACCTTAGAACTCTTTATGAGTCTTAATTAATATAAATGAAAATAATTCACTGACAAATTTTTCTATTGGAGTCATTGGAGGCTCATTTGAACACTATTAGAAAATGCTGTTAAACATTCAAAATCATAGTATTTCCTGCAATACAAAGATAATGTAAGCAAACAATTACTCTTAAATTATCAAATTATAACATTTGTTTATTCCCCCTTTGCGTGGGGTCCTCAGAGTCACGGTTATTGCCTGAACCCTGGCTGTTGCTGCACCTTAGAGAAGTAAAGACGAAGGCTCCTGGGATTGAAACTGTGGCTTAGTGGCATAGGTTCTGATGGCAACCATAAGACATCATTCAAAGAGCCTAGGTGACATTGCAGGTTAGGTGTTGGGTACTAACCAGGTCAGTGATTCAAATTCATCAGCAGGTCCTTGGGCAAAAGAGGAGGGTTTATCGTCTCGGAAACCTTATGTAGTCATGATGCGTTGGGACCAACCAGGTGGCAGTGGGATGAAGGATCAAGCAGCCTCTGTGTGTAGCGCTCTAGACTCAGCTACAGAATTCGAGTCTCAGGTATGTGATTTGTTTGAGTTGCAGTTTTTATGTTGTCCATATGCCCAGTGGTCTAGATACACAGTTGAATATTCTCTTGTGCCAAAATAGTGTCCAAAAGATCTAAAAACTGATACATTGGGTAAAAAGCCACTCTTTTGGTTTAAAATTTGTATGAAAGGAATATGAAAAGAAATGAGGTTATTTATAAAGATGGTCTCTGATGCTTTTTCAAAAAAGAGCCGATTAAAGATCAGGTTCAGATGTCCCTGGAACAATCAATTTTATGTATTTAGATGAAGGAGTGGATTTGCAGATCCTATTCAGAAACAAAATAACTACTGTATATGCCTTTGTTGAAAATTAGGCTTTCAAATGCAAAATTTTCTTTCCTTAAACTATATAAAATCCACTGCCATGGAATCTGATGCCTCATGACCCTATGAAGGGCATCTGAGACTGTAAACCTTTATGGGACCAGAGAGTCCCATCTTTTTCCACTGGTAGGTTTGAACGGCTGACCTTGCAGTTAGTAGCTGAACCAATGCTTATCACAAAGCACCACCCAGGGCTCCTTAACCAAATAAAAGTGCATGTTTTATAGAAGCCAAAAAGGAAAGATGGACAATCCATATTTTGAACTTGAGGGCTATTTACTTTTTCACACCCCTGCCCAGACTCTGTAAACTAAAGAGACTGTCAGGTGTATGCACAACATCCTAATAGAATACTATTATTACAATGCAGATGCCCACTTCTATAGATAACAGGTATGAGAACAAAGCTAAGTCCAAAAGAATATACTTTAGCCACCAACTCATCTATTTCAAACTTCAGTTCTTTTCTTGTGGAAGAAAGCAAAGGACATTTCAAGTCACTGGCTTCTTCCAGAGATAGATCAATGCGATGATACATGGAAAAACACAGAACCAGACAGATCTGTGTTCATCCCAGCTGTGATGCTGCCAAGTAAGCATTAATCTGCTGCTAACTACAATGTCAGTTGTTCAAATCCACCAACTGTTCTGTGGGAGAAAAATGAGACTACCTGCCCTGGCGAACATTTAAAAACTCAGAATTACTATTTATGCGTCTGAGTTGCTGTGAGTCAGAATTGATTTATGGGAGTCATGGGATTCTATGGCTGTGTTGTTTTATGCTTACCACTTAACCTTCGGAATCTTACTAAATTAAATGTTAGGCTAAGTTAAGTAATAATGCTTGCCACATGTCAATGCTTACACGCATCTAGATTGTGACTGTAGGCTAAAAAATGGGGCTTACCGATTGAATGCATTAGATTAGATCACAGGAAATTGCCATTTTTATGGGTAAACAATAACTGAATATCAGATTCACTGTAAGGTGGTCTTCTCCTCGGAACCTGGAGGGTACTGGCTGTTAAAGTGAGGCCACGGTTTGGACACAAAGGCCAGTAGTTGTCAGTTCCTTGGCGAGTTTTCAGTAGATGGTCCCGGGCAGATATTTCTATCAGTGCACAGACTTTAGCATGTTCTCCTAACTCTATACAGCATGGGAGCTCAGGTTTCTTACATGAGTCCATTGCTTACCCCCAATAAAAATCTACGTTTTACATTTTAATAAAGTTAGTAATAAAACTCATTTCATTTGGGTGGCTTGTGACAATTCTGTTCCATGATGCTACAAGTCACAAACATACAAGAACAGTGGGCATATACAAGCAATCTCACCGACCTTTCTAATGATGTCAATAACAGAGATGTAATTATTTAGACTCTTAGTGATCCACTTGCTCTCTTAAAAGTTTGATTTCAGAGTGTTTTCCATATTGGTGATTTTCTTGTCAGTCACTTTCCTTGGAAATTGAGGCAGGCGTTTTCGGAAATTTCCACTCATCAGGATGTAGAGGAAAGGGTTAATGCTGCTGCTGGTATAGCTGAGACAGATGGCGAGGTAATAGCCCACGTAGAAGGCCAGCGTGGGATGCTCCATGTGCAAGTTCACCAGTTGTATCACATGATATGGAGCAGCACTTAGAATGAAGACTGTCACCAGCACCAGCACCATCGTTGTGAGCTTCATCACCCGCTGCCTTGGGAGACTGGGATTATAACTGTAAAGACGACAGTAGAATAGGCATGAACAGAAGCAACCGTAGAAATAACAGGGCAATGGTTTCCTAGAACATTCAGATAGTTCGTAATAGCTTTGTTGTGAGGTATGAAGGTCATTGTTGTTGCAATTTATTTAAAGAATTGTGAAGACTGGTTTTTATTCCTGTTAAAAATTTCCCAAACTGGAACATTAGAAAATAAAATAAAATCATGAACAGAGTGCAGAGTTATTACCCAAAGGATAAAATAAGTATACATAAGTCTATACTGATAAAAGCAAATGATTGAAGAAAATGAGAAGAAGAGGTGGAGCTTTACTGAAGAATTCCAAGTAATATATGTAGATACTCCCTTGGGCTGGAACCCACTCAGTGGCAACTAACAACACTCATTTCTGGAACATGGACATTTCAGGCCTGGCCCCTACTTTCTTCTTGAAGGTGGGCTAGCTTAGTGCCTGACTTCCCTATAATAGAGAAAGAGTCAAATAGTAACTTGATAGTGGAGAAACCTGGCAATACTTTAACCAAGTAATCATGGTCTAGAGCTGTCATGTAAAAACTTCTGTTGTTGTGTTTTACATTGTAAAGGTTTTTATTTTACAAATATTATTTCATGTTAATACATTTTATCAAAGGAATTTTACATGTCTTTCATTTGCCATCCATCAGTTACAATTTAGTTCCTCTAAATCTTGTAAAAGTTCATCTTCAAGATAGCCTTTAAAGGAACCTACGCTAAAATCCATCATGGTTGTGAAGATACTATCCAGCAGGTATGAATCACAGATCTTGAAAAATTAGCAGAGTAATAAAATTTAAAGGAGTATAATGATAAAGCTTGTAGAACATGTGTAGGTTCAATATTTCTATTCGTGTAGATCTCGGTCATTGATGTCCCCAACTGGTGGGATGTTCACAAGGTAGCAAAAATACAAAAGCCTCCTGGGAAAAAGGTTATGGTCAAATGTTATGGTCAAAAAGACAAAATGTTAGCCTCCTGGAAGCTGGCTGCTGAGTTGGGCTGGGCGAATGGCAGAGAAGTGAATGCCGGGTGAAGGATAAACTCTGGGTCCAGTAATCCATCCTTTTTAACTGAAGGAGGGAGATTTCATTTGTTTTCTGTGGGAAGAGCTTTGCTGGCATGAGGGGTGTGAGGAGATGGGCAGGGAGAACCCTAGTAGGTGCGGTGTGTCTGGAGAGGGCAGAACCACATGGGTCAAACCTTACACCCGGAGGGCAGAGGCCTCCCTTCATGGGTGCAGGGAGAGTGGATGAAGTGAAACTTGGGGTGCGAGGGAGCAATCCTGTGGCCACCAAGAACCCACATGTAGATAGGGTGTCAGGCTGACCATATACCAGACCTTCTGTAGCAGCCATTCCAAGCCCATTGTGGGGTTTCGTTTCTTTCTTTTTTTCCCCATTTTTATTAAACTTCTGGTTTATCTGAAAAAAGAAAAAAAAGACACCTGCTCCTCAAAGCCAACTGGAAATCTCCACCGCTCACCGCTCCTTCGAGGTCCTAACTCTAATTGGTTTTCAGTCCCGGTCAGCCTCTCGTCTGTCTCCCCTGAAACTGCTGGCCAAGGTCATCAGTGGTCACCACACTGGTCACTCTGTCCTCATCTCACTTGACTCATCAGCACCTGCTCACAGAGGCGACCGGTCCACCCCACGAGCACTTCTGGATGCCAGCTTTATGATGCAGGAGCGTCTGCATTGCATGTGCTCTACTGACTATGGTTCCTGTTGCCTCTCCCTGTCCTGTGTCATCTTTTACATGTGATGCTCTTCCCTTAAAATAAAGATCCAATAGTGGGGGGAAAAAAAGCAATTCAGAAGCTGCCTTCTAAAAGTTTTGGCAATGACCACATTCTGTTTCTTTATTTTGACAACGGTACCGCTGTGATGTGAGATGTTGGTCATGAAGAAACTGAAAGAGGATTTGTATTGCAGTGAGACTCCTTGTGTGGTTTCTTCCCTGAGTTCTTAGAAAAATGGCTTAGAGGGTTTCCCAAGGTTCTTTGATGCTTCTTTTTCCTTCCTATATTTGAGAGTTTATACTGTTTTTTGTTTGTTTGGGCTGCTGCCTGATTGGTAGATATGGCATGAGTTGTGGGTGATCAGTTCCTAAGTCATCAAGGCCTGGCTGGACTCCACTCTGGCTTAGGGGACCTCACCTGAAACCGATGCTCTATGGTCCGTGGCAAACCATGCCACTCACAGTGGCCCACACATGCCAGAGTAGAGCTGCTGCACAGACTTTTCCCAGCTGTAAACCTTTCTTCTGCAGAAATGAAGGCTCGTTTTCAACTGCTCACCTTTGGGGTAGCAGCCCCAAACTTAACCCATGGTGCCACCAGGGATCCCTACCCTATGCCTTCCATGAAGGAAGACAACACAGATGTTTTAGCAATTTTGGGCTGAAAACAGAATGAGGGACATCCACCAGTTGCCCAAAACCCTACCCCAGAAATCCTCCAGACCTGGGAGAAGTGTGGCATTTTTATTGCTGTCAATGGCAGCAATGGTGGCCTCAGGAGCAGGGAAGACAAGTGAGCCTAGAGGGTGAGCAGAGCCCACGGAAGAGCTGTGCCAGCAGGGGGTATACCTGCTGCAGGGAAACATGTGAGAATAAACATCTGTTCATAAAGAGGATAAGTGGGTTTCTTTGAGATGTTGAAGCTCTGAGCTGGGATGCCTCTAAGATTTCCCCTCCTGCATCTCTTAAATTCTCTTTATATTAATTGTTGGTCTCTTTCTCTACCGGATTAAAGTTGTTGGTCTAGGTCTGGTGCTTTCAGGAGCTTTGAGGGCGCTGCAGTGCATTATTGAGCCCAGCAGAGAGAGTGCGTGGGATGACTGTTGTCAGAACGAGTTGGGGAATTGAGGAGTTGGGGATTTGAGGTATATTTGACCTCTGCCTCACAAGAACCAGTTTTTGCTGATTTTCATAGTTAAAGTTATCCCTCCTGAAGTTAGTTATAACATTATCCCTGGAGTTAACACTTCAGGAATATATACAAAATCTCTGTATTTTCTTTGCAACTTTTCTGTGAAATTAAAGCTACTGTAAAATAGTATAGAGTTCCCCAATTTCTTCGGGCTATGTCATATTTAGACATTTAGCAGAACTCTCCCTGGGGACATGGTTAAGGTAAATAAACAAGCCTGGGAGATAATGTGAAACAAGGTAAGGCAGCTTGATTTCAGTGGGAAAGAGTGGCTCCTCTGCGGCTTATCAGCGTGGGCGTGATTCCGCTGCATTCTTGCGTTCTGAGGCATATCTAACTTGTGCAGTCTTTTCCCCAAAAGATGGACTTAGCATTTCTGGGGGGGGTGGGGGGGCGGGATGTCAGGAGGAAAAGGACGTGATCTGGAGAACTGTTTTAAAAGGACTCAAACATCCTCTAATCTTCATGTCCCTGTGTTCTGTACTATTCCATTTAAGTCTTCTCATCGATTCAGTTCTTCAGGTGCATTTACAAGCTATTTCCCCCCTATATTTATAGCATCTTACCTTACCAAGTCTAAATGAACCACCTATCAAAATGTATCAAGGGATTTCATGAAGCTAAATGGAAAAGGTTGTGGTACTTATAGTACTGGTATTTTGCTGCAGATTTTCACTCATGATGGTTACATTGTATATATTTTTTGGGGGGTGGTGTGGGGGTGGGTGGGGAGTAGGTAAGTCTTTCCAAGAGTAGAAAGCCCCTGCTGACCTTGTGGTTAGCAGCCCAATGCATAGCCACTAGGCCACTGTGGTAGTTTCACAATTTCATGTCAACTTGATAAATAAGAATGAAGGGGTGGCCTCTAGCCTGTCAATCAGGTCACAGCCTGGTGATCCCTCCTTGTGGGCATGGTCTCCTCATGAGGATTCTGGGACCTCCTTTCTTCCTCCCTGGAGGTGGGACACACTCTCTCTCTGCTTCCCATTCCTGTTGACAAGCCACATGGAGCCAGGCTGATGGCAGCCAGAGCTCTGGAGATGCGTCCAGTGCCATTGGATCCACAGGACGTTCCACCCAGCGGCCAGCGATCTTCCTGCATACAGCATCATTGCACGTGCTGGTGCTGCGTGAGTCTGAAGAGGAATTCATGGGTTAATATCAGACTCATGGGCTAATATAGAAGTTAAGGACTAGATCTGGAGGTCGTCCCAGGTGGCTGCCATGCGGAGATTCTGTTTGGGCTAGTTAGAACGCTAACAGGGTGGAGTGGCTAAGACTATGTATTCCTTGAAAGCAATGGAAACTGAATGAAGAAACCACTGTTACCTGCTGCAAACAATAAAGGCTAGTCAGACAGTTACCAACCGGCAAAAAGGAGCAGGTCAAAAACAGAAAGCCTGGGAGTGAAAGAAGAGTTTTTTGATGGGTAATGTAAGCTTTGAAAAATTCCTGCATATCTGGTAACCAATATAGCCATACATAAGAGCCTTACACGTGCTCAGGACAGGATGCACACTCAGAAGACTTCACAAGGCCCTGGGTCAGTAGTCTTTAAGCTCAGTCAAGCAGGAAGTATAAGACACGGCAGAGTTGTAAATGGCCTGGCTAAGCATTGAAGTCGTGAGTATATTCCTTCTACTCTACAAAAGACCTAAATAATAATTTTTCTCTTTTTACTTTATTTAATATCATCATATTCAAAATGTCTAGTTTTCAGCAAACAATTAGGGTGTGTGCCCCCCAAAAGAGGACCCCCTCCAAAGTATAATTTAATTAACAGAAAAAAGCAAGAAATGAGCATAAACTCTCCGTAGGAAAGACATCATTAGACTGAGACTTACATCAACTATCTTAAATATGCTCAAAATCCTAAGGGAACCATGAAGAAATTACTAAAAGAAACAAGGAGAATGAGTTCTCAACAAGTAGGCAGTATCAAAAGAGACAGAAAGTATACAAATGAGCCAGATGAAAAGTTTATAGCTGGAAAGTACAATAATCAATGTGAAAAATTCACTACAGGAGTTTACCAGCATATACAACTAGATAGAAGAAAGGATGAACATACTTGATGTTAGATCAAATGAAATTATCCAAGCTGAGGAACAGAAAGTAAAAAGAATGGCGAACAGAGCCTTAGAAGGTTGTGGAACACAACAAGCATGTCAACATGAATATACGAACAACAGAAGTCCCAGAGCAGAGAAGTGAGAGAAAGGAGCAAAGATATGTAGAAATAATGGTTGAAATTTTCTCAAATTTGATATAATACATGAACCTACCTATTCAAGAATCTCAAGAAATTCCAAGTATGATGTTTAAAAAGTTCTACACAGAAAACATTATGTATAATTATATATGCAAAGTAAGGTGGACTCTTACCATCCAGCATCTTTATTTTGTTGATACATCTCCCAAGTATAGCATAAAATTAAAATATAGCACACCAAAATCAAAGGTAAAGGGACAAAGAAAGTTGTTATTGTCAAATAAAGTGTATACCTGTAAAATGAGAGAGAGAGAAAACATTACTGTTTTATTCACTATACTAGGAATTAACTTTTCCAATTTTGAGGCATACTTCTGTGACTTTTCAGGGTGTAGGGCAAGAGTCTCTAGGGAAAAGCTATTTGGGGAAGAAATCAAGCTCTTCATTGTTGAGTGATAGTGAAGCCTGTCTCCGGTTTAGGCAAGTCCACCTCTACTGAATGAAGAGCAGGTAATACTAGTTATCATTAAAGTTGCTTTTATTATTATTATTAACAAGAACAACATGACATTCATTATGCAATAGGCACTGTTCCCTCCCCCCCCACCCCCATCAGCCCAGCTGTCTCACGCTGGTGGCTTTCGTATTCTGCAATGCTGAAAACTATCCACCAGTTTTTCAAACACCAGTAGACCAATGGTGGACAGGTTTCAGTGGAGTTTTCAGATCAAGACAGACTATGAAGGTAGGTATGGAATTTTAAAAATTAAACCTTATAGATAGCAACAGAGCATTGTTCTACTTGCTGGTTTTAAATATGTCACTAGGGGGATCAATTGCTAAAGAAGGAATCATGCTCAGGGAAGTAGAGGGCCAGCGAGGGCATCGGAGACCCTCGGGGTTATGGATTGGCAGAGTAGCTGCAACCTTATGGTAATTATGAAGATGGTGAAGGTCTGAGCAAGGTGTTGTTCGGTTGCATGGACATAAGGTTCTGGTGCAGAAGGGTATGTATGTGTCAGTTGAAGTGAGCATAGCAGACTTGTGATTTGAGAGCAAATAATTGGAAATACAGTCCCATGGGTACCATAACACCAGACGGCACTCCCTGGGCATGATGGAGGGCACGCGGTACAATTTTGTCATGGTGCTCCTCCAGAGGCCTTCTCAGAGTAACTCCATTCCTCCACAGAGCTCACGTATTCTCCTTCCTGGCAAAACCCTGGCCTCTGAGGAAAAGGCAGGCCCCGGTTGGGTGGATGTGGACAGGGAATAATTAGGAGCAGAGAAGAGCACGGTAGTTCCAGCATCAGGTCCTTGTGAGGACTTCCTTCCAGGAGGAAGGATCGATGTTGTCATCTCAAAATATCTTTATGAGAATCAACCAAAACTACCAAATGCAACTGTAGATACAGAGCAGTTCATCTTTTTTTTTTTTTTTTAAGCATCTCTCTTCTTTTTAATATCATATAGTGGCCTTAGATTGCATTTTAAGCAGGCTGTGGCCCATATTAGCATATAAGCCATGAGTGATTAAGTGATTAATTATTATGAATCACGGTTGGTTCTTTTTGGTTGGCTGTTGGTGTTTGTATGTTGAGTGTAGCTAATAAATACCAGTGGGGGAAATAATCAATGAACAATCCTATTCTTATGAAGATGTCTTCCCTGGATTTGAGGCTTTGCAGGGTCTGTATGAGGTTGTGACTCATCCATCTGACCAGTGATGGGGTGGGGAAAAGAAATTTGCCAGGCTAACAGAGGTGATAAATATAGAAAGCAACTAGAGCAGTCCATGGCCCTTGAAAAACTGAAATAACCGATTCTGACTCACTGTGGTCCTAGGGGTCAGGGAGCTGTCCTACAGGGTTTCCAAGGTTCTGATCTTTTACACAAGTAGACAGCTGCAACTTTCCTAGGAAACTAAAACAAATCCACCTAAAACCAAACTTGGTGCCATCACATTGGCTTTGTCTCCTGGTGACCCCAGGCGTTATCGAGTAGAAGTGTTCTAGAGGGTGTTCTTGGCCGTGGTCTTTACAGACGCAGACAGTCAGCTCTTTCTCATGTCATAGCACTGAGTCCGTCTGAACTACAACCTTTAGATTAGTTGCTGAGAGCCAACTGTGCCACCCATGGGCCTGGCCTTTAGGTGGCTCTCAAAACTTTAATTTGGTCATGGACTTCTAATGCTATATTTACAAACTTCAAGTTTGTAACTTCAAGGAAAATTTTGGCTTAATTTTTCTTTTCAAGGGAAAATATAAAAACTGAAATGGCTGGGTGGGATGTCCATTGATAAGGCTTGAGTCTGTAAAATTTGTATGCCCTCTTGGAAAAGGCTGAATTTACTACGTTGCTGGATTCCTGGCTTGTCTGGCTGCTATGTATCATTGACATTCGTGGTTCAGTGTATCTGCAACCACTGAGGTTACATGATTCAATTGAAAATATTTTCTATAAATGCTACCCAAAGAGTAAGCACCCAGTAAAACCATACAATCAACGTGATTGTGGAAAGCAGACCGTAAGTCAGGAGACTCATGAGCAAAGGGTTCCCGCGGATACCCTATGAAGCTGCTCATCGATGAGGAAGATGAACAGGGAAGATAATAGGTGCTTGCTCACTTATGTGTAGTGAACCATTTCACTTGCTTTTTACCACATCCCTGTCAGGAAGTGCACATTTGGAAAGAGGCTTTGATTTTGCAGGTAGATGCTGTGGGATTTGAGAAGAGACAGATGTCAACTATATATAGAAGCAGAATCTATGATGTGTAAAAAAGGTGAAATGGCTCATTCTAGATGAGGAAACACAGGTAAGCCCATGCTTATCTTGCCTCCAGGGAAATTTGACCTGGAGGATGAAGTGCTTCCCAACTTAATTCAATTCTATATTTCTTAATTCTTAACAGCTTACCAGAGGACATCATCAGGGGATGTTAAATCAAAAGCACAACTCTCGACACCATCTTTGAATTTGATGACCTTTGAATAGAGCCAGACAGGCAATGCCAGAATCAAGGAGGCGGCCCAGAGGCCCATGTTGATGCAGATGGTCTTGTACCTTGTTCTCCAACTCCTGAGACGAAATGGTTGGACCAGAGCCAAGTACCTGCAAAGCATTTGGGAACAATCAATAACGGTATGGAGCTTCAAGGATGAAAAGTTTACGACAAACGTAAATGACTCGTTTTTTGGGTCCTCCCTGAAGCATACCTCTGTGAGGGCAAAAGAAGGTGATGTTTTCTAAGATCCAACTTGTACGTACAGAGAAAACAATTCTTTACCCAAATGTTTAAATAAACCACTCACCAAAATAGCTATCATTTTCATGAGCAGATCAGTAACTCTGGAAAGATCCTGTAATGCAAACACTTTCTTTACCTTGTAAATGAAGGTATTTGTCTTAGAATAGTGATTTTCTCCATTAGGGTTAATCCCGTGGAGGTAGGAAGGAAGAAAGCATGAGGCTGATAGAGACTCCCCAGCAGGGTTAGGTACATTTAATAGACATTTTTTCCCCTGTATAGCTGTACAATAGTTTCTCCAGATTCTTGAAGATTCAATTTATCGAAATCACAGTGAAGATAAAATGAGCCTGACTTATTTAGGCAATATAAATTCTCCAAGGAATTTAGGCTGGAGGCTGGAGGAAGGAAATGGGTTAGTATTTTGGGGAATAGGTTTTCTGAAAAATTACTTATTACATTAGGTTCATAAAAAAAGACTAATCATCGATCAAACTTGAAATCAGGATATATTAACCTCTCGCAAATCCCAAAATTTCCAGAGCCACCTGAAAACAAAACTATAGAAAATGTTCAGATTCTGTGGAGAGAGTATTGGAAAAAATAGTTTTGCTGAAGGTGGAGATAAAAGACAATATTAGCAAAAATAAACTAAATGTAAAAGATGGTTTTGTTATTATTGTTAACCACCATCAAGCTGGCCCAAGACTTAGGGGGGCATCTAAACTTTGCCTTTCCTGGTGAACCCAGTGGTCGGTTGTAGAATGAACGCCCGTCAGTTATGACAGTCTTCAACTGGCTGATATTTGGAAGTAGATCTTCTTCCATAGGCATCCCACTGGAGACTGCTGCAATCGGTCAACTATTATAACGACACTGAAGCCACCACTGACACAGTTGCTCATCTAAAACAGGACCGGCATGTGCAACTTTCTCTCCCTAGTGTCGGAGCACTGGCCAGCTCACTAGGCGTCCCTCAAGGCAAGGTCAGCATTGGCCGGCATCATCTGAGCTACTCAGTTCTATACATTAGTGAGAAAATGTGGTGTGAATTATAAATTGAGACGCATATTTAATATGCTGGTATTTTCCAGTAAAGGAGCAGGATATAAGGATGCATGAAATAATGTCATTATTCCTTTCCATCTGAGCGGCAGGTTTATATTAACCTTGTCATCCCTTCTTCATTCATCTGAAGATGTGCTCACTTCCTCCTGGGAAGGACCACGTCAACGGGGAAAACAGGCAGTGTTCAGGGAAAAGTTCTAAATGGACCCAGGAAAATTGAACACCTTCTTCAAGATTGACATTCATTTTTTCCAGTATTTCATCAAATGTTTCAAGCAGCTGTGTCCATAAGGATTTACAACATTTGAAACCCTCCAGGGCAGTTCTACTCTGTCCGACAGGTTCTCTGTGAGCCGAAATTGACTTGATGCCAATGGGTTGGTTTGGAACGCGATGCCAGGCATTGTGACACAGTTGTTTGGGACATATCAGTGAACAAAGACTCTACCTCTGTGGAGTGTGCATTTCATAAGGAGGTAGAGCTAACCAAATAACAAAAAGAAAAGAAACATAAATTAAGGATGCAATATATAGATCAGGGGCGAGGGTGACATAGCAGCTTTGAGTTACGGGGACGGAATAGAAGTAGAATCTAAATGAGAGTCTCCTAGATAGCATATGACAGTGGTGCATGTTATGGCTCTCTTCAGGGCCCATGTCTTCATGTGGAGGCTTTGGCATCTGGACGACGCAAGAAATACCCTAGCTTTCATGCTCCCCAGACGCCCGACAGTGAAGTTGTTACGAGCTGCTTGTTATCTCTAGAGTCCTAAGTGGACTCATCATCATCCTCATCATCATCACCACAGTGACTGAATAATGAATATCATTAGCTTACAGGATTGGTGGATATAGCCACTGCACATTCCAGAACACAGTAGAAAAAAACTTCTAATGATGTAAAATGGCAACATTTTTCATTGAGCAATATATTGATGAATGTAAAAGATGGCTTTCCTGATAACCAGCAATCTCTGAAGAGCTACACACGAACCTCTATCCACTCTGCTGATTGCTCAGAGGGAGCTACTCGGTGATACTCTGAGTGTGAACAGCGAACCTTGAGAGAGAGGTTGGGAACCCAGTGGTGCAGTTAAGTTCCTGGCTGCTAACCAAAAGCCCAGTGGTTCAAAACTGCCAGTCTCTCTGCGGAGCAAGACGTGGCAGCCTGCTTCTGTACAGATTTACAGCTAAACACCCTCTGAGGCAGCTCTCCTTAGTCCTGTAGGGTCACTAAGAGTCGGCATTGATTTGATGGCAGTAGACCCAGGCAGTGAGGAGCTCCGCCACTGAGTCTCCACCTGCCTTCAGCAAATCCCTTTGCAGCTCCGGGCCTCAGCTGCCTTATTGCAGTATGATAGAGGGAGTTTGTTCTGGTTTCTGACATTTCATAATTTTGTGAATTTTTTTCTTGCAGTGAATTGTAACTAAAACTAAGGTAATAATGAACGACAAGGGGGCTGGGGAGAGAGACTTTAGTGTTTTTAATTTTCGCTTTAAAAAACAAATTTCCGAGTGGCATGAAAAAACATGTCCTTAAGGAATCAATCCTATGATGATATAAGAAAAGAAAGAGAAGTTTGGCTGTTATAAATTTGCACCGATGTTACTTAAATTGGAACACCTTAGAGGAGTCCCGGGTGGCTTGGCATTAAAGGAAGGGCTTTCAAAGCCCCTTCACTCACCGGTCCACACTCATCGCAGTCATGATGGCGCTGCAGGCAAACTGGTTGCACGTATCCAGGGATGTGATGACGGTGCAGAGAGCTCCCCCAAATACCCACTCTCCTCCTCGGGCCCACTGGTGAATAAGGAAAGGCATTCCAGTGATGTGGACCAAATCTGCCACAGCTAGGTTGCAGATATAAATGTCAGGGATGGTTTTTTTCCTTGACCTGAAAGAAAGAGAGAAAAATCGAGAATTGACATCAAAACATGTACTTGTTTCAATTTATGCACCTGCTAGACGATAACAATTGCCATGATGAATTTTAATAAAGTAAACTCTATACGAAAGCATATGCAAATGTCTAGTCTTTTGTATATTGAAGCATTTTGAATGATTTATAACTAACGGTAGCTTTCAAAATCCAAACCCATGTCAAGCTAGTCACTTTGATTTCAACTCATGGTGACCCCACAGGGGTCAAAGTAGAGCTGCACTCATGAGAGTTTTCATTCTTGTGATCTTTTCAATGCAGATGAACAGATCTTTCTTCTGAGACACTTCTAGATGGGCACAAGCCACCTATCATTAGCAGCCACATCCTAACTATTTACATTACTGCCACAAGAGACTCTGTTAAAATATAGTCAATTTACAATATCCCGGTGTATAATGTAGCTTGGGGACTTAGGACCATGGTCTTGGGGGGCCAGCTAAATCTTGGCACAGCATACTTCACAAAGACATCGTCCTACATCCTACTGTGGTGAGCAGCAACAGGGTGATGTGGCAAGAGTGCTGTTCCATTGCAGGGATTGGAATCAATGTCATGAATCAAAATGTGTATGAACGGTTGAATGGGAAACTGACTGTAAACTTACATTGAGATCAGAATAAAAAGCATGTCTAACATTGTGTTAGTAGCTATTCCTCCCCATTTAGAGTAAAGAACAGGGAAGAAAATCAAAGACTCAAAATCAATTTCCTACCATAGATGAGTTACTGCTTCCAGTGCTTTGGCTAATAGTTTCAGTGTAGCTTGAACGTTTTCTTGCATTACCATTGGTCCTGGCTCTAACTCTCCATTTTTGCACATTTCATTATAATATTTGAATTTGTCTTCTATAGCTGTCCTTTGAAATTTTCCATTTAGCTCTTCGATTTCATCCACTTTCTTTTT